GCCCGGTTGACCGGGTTGTCCTGGCTGACTTGGTTGGCCAGGTTGACCGGGTAGTCCTGGTTGGTCAGGTTGACCGGGTTGTCCTGGTTGCCCTTGACCTGGCTGACCTTGTTGACCTGGTTGGTCCGGTTGACCGGGTTGTCCTGGCTGACTTGGTTGGCCAGGTTGAACGGCTTGTCCTGGTTGCCCTGGCTGTCCTTGACCTGGATGACCTTGTTGACCTGGTTGGCCAGGTTGACCGGGTTGTCCTGGCTGACTTGGTTGGCCAGGTTGACCGCGGTGTGTCCTGGTTGGCCGGTTGACGGGTTGTGCCTGGTTGCGCCTTGACGCTGGCTGAAACTTGGTTGACCTGGTTGGCAGGTTGTCGCTGCTGACTGGTTGGCCAGGGTTGAACCGGGTCGTCTGGTTGCCTTGACTGGCTTTTGACCTGTGGTTTGACCTGGTGGCCAGGTTGACGGGTTGTCTCTGGCTGACTTGGTTGGCCAGGTTGACCCGGCTTGACCGGTGTTGTCCAGGCGTGGACTTGGTTACCGGGTTGTCTGGTTGGCCAGGTTGACGGGGTTGTCTGGTTGCCCTGGTGCCTGTACTGGCTGCCTTTGTTTTGACTCTGGTTGCCCGGTTGACCGTGGCTTGTACTGCTGACTTGATTGCCTCCATGGTAATCAACTCACCGCTTGTCCCTGTTGCCCTGGCTGCCCTTGACCGGAGCTGTGCCTATTGACCGTTGTCCAGGCTGTCCTGTTGGCGGGTTGACCTGGTGCCCTGTTGTCCACTTGGTCCAGGATGCCGTACGCATTTTCCAAACACCGCCCAAGTGATTTGTGATTGCGAGGCCTGCATCATACCTATTATTCCGATTAAACTCCATACACCAGAAAAGCGTTCTTCCTTTTACGTACACGATAAAACTTTTGCACAGTTGTTTTTCATCAGGAAAACGTTCTGTCATGACAAATGTCCCTGATTGGGTTAGCTTGGCCTGGATCGGCTTCCCTGGCTGGTCCGGGTTGTCTCTGAGCTGCCGCTGGTTGACCGGGTTTCCTGATTGGCCAGGTTGACCTTGTTGACCAGGTTGTCCTGGCTGACTTGGTTGGCCAGGTTGACCGGTTTGTCCTGGTTGGCCAGGTTGACCGGGTTGCCCTGGTTGCCCTGGCTGACCTTGTTGACCTGGTTGGCCCGGTTGACCGGGTTGTCCTGGCTGACTTGGTTGGCCAGGTTGAACGGCTTGTCCTGGTTGCCCTGGCTGTCCTTGACCTGGATGACCTTGTTGACCTGGTTGGCCAGGTTGACCGGGTTGTCCTGGCTGACTTGGTTGGCCAGGTTGACCGGGTTGTCCTGGTTGGCCCGGTTGACCGGGTTGTCCTGGTTGTCCTGGTTGCCCTTGACCTGGCTGAACTTGTTGACCTGGTTGGCCAGGTTGTCCTGGCTGACTTGGTTGGCCAGGTTGACCGGGTTGTCCTGGTTGCCCTTGACCTGGCTGACCTGGTTGACCTGGTTGGCCAGGTTGACCGGGTTGTCCTGGCTGACTTGGTTGGCCAGGTTGGCCCGGTTGACCGGGTTGTCCAGGCTGACTTGGTTGACCGGGTTGTCCTGGTTGGCCAAGTTGACCGGGTTGTCCTGGTTGCCCGGGTTGCCCTTGACCTGGCTGACCTTGTTGACCTGGTTGGCCCGGTTGACCGGGTTGTACTGGCTGACTTGATTGGCCAGGTTGACCGGGTTGTCCTGGTTGCCCTGGCTGCCCTTGACCGGGCTGGCCTGATTGACCCGGTTGTCCAGGCTGTCCTGGTTGGCCGGGTTGACCTGGTTGCCCCTGTTGTCCACTTGGTCCAGATGCCGTACCGCATTTTCCATACACCGCCCAAGGATGATTGCATGATTGCGAGGCCTGATCCCATACCGTATTATCTCCGCATGTAAACTCATACACCAGAAAAGCGTTTTCTCCTTTTACGCAACGATAAAACTTTGCACAGTTGTTTTCATCAGGGAAAAAACCTTCTGTATGACAATGTCTGATTGGGTTAGCTTGGCCTGGAGCGGGTTGCCCTGGTGGTCCGGGTTGTCCTGATTGGCCAGGTTGACCTGGTTGCCCTGGCTGACCTTGTTGACCGGGTTGTCCTGGCTGACTTGGTTGGCCAGGTTGACCGGGTTGTCCCGGCTGCCCTTGACCTGGCTGACCTTGTTGACCTGGTTGGCCAGGTTGACCGGGTTGTTCTGTCTGACTTGGTTGGCCAGGTTGACCGGGTTGTCCTGGTTGGCCGGGTTGTCCTGGTTGGCCGGGTTGTCCTGGTTGCCCTTGACCTGGCTGACCTTGTTGACCTGATTGGCCAGGTTGACCGGGTTGTCCTGGCTGACTTGGTTGGCCAGGTTGACCGGGTTGTCCTGGTTGCCCTGGCTGTTCTTGACCTGGCTGACCTTGTTGACCTGGTTGGCCAGGTTGACCGGGTTGTTCTGACTGACTTGGTTGGCCAGGTTGACCGGGTTGTCCTGGTTGCCCTGGCTGCCCTTGACCGGGCTGACCTTGTTGACCTGGTTGGCCCGGTTGACCGGGTTGTCCTGGCTGACCTTGTTGACCTGGTTGGCCAGATTGACCGGGTTGTCCTGGCTGACTTGGTTGGCCCGGTTGACCGGGTTGTCCTGGCTGACCTTGTTGACCTGGTTGGCCAGATTGGCCGGGTTGTCCTGGCTGACCGGGTTGTCCTGGTTGCCCTGGCTGCCCTTGACCTGGCTGTCCTGGTTGGCCAGGTTGACCGGGTTGCCCTTGCTGGCCAGGTTGACCTGGTTGCTCCTGTTGTGCACCTTGATTTGGTTCAGATGCCGTACCGCATTTTCCATACACCGCCCAAGGATGATTACATGATTGCGAGGCCTGATCCCATACCGTATTATCTCCGCATGTAAACTCATACACCAGAAAAGCGTTTTCTCCTTTTACGCAACGATAAAACTTTGCACAGTTGTTTTCATCAGGGAAAAAACCTTCTGTATGACAATGTCTGATTGGGTTAGCTTGACCTGGAGCGGGTTGTCCTGGTGGTCCGGGTTGTCCTGGTTGGCCAGGTTGACCGGGTTGTCCTGGTTGGCCAGGTTGACCGGGTTGGCCGGGTTGTCCTTGCTGCCCTTGTTGACCTGGTTGGCCAGGTTGACCGGGTTGTTCTGGTTGGCCCTGACCGGGCTGGCCAGGTTGGCCGGGTTGTCCTGGCTGACCTTGTTGACCTGGTTGGCCGGGTTGTCCTTGCTGCCCTTGACCGGGTTGGCCAGGTTGACCGGGTTGTCCTGGCTGACCTTGTTGACCTGGTTGGCCAGGTTGAGCGGGTTGTCCTGATTGCTCTGGCTGCCCTTGACCTGGCTGACCTTGTTGACCTGGTTGGCCAGGTTGTCCGGGTTGCCCTGGCTGCCCTTGACCTGGCTGACCTGGTTGACCGGGTTGTCCTGGTTGGCCCTGACCGGGCTGGCCAGGTTCGCCGTGTTGGCCTGGCAGACCTTGTTGACCGGGTTGGCCAGGTAGACCGGGTTGTCCTTGCTGGCTAGGTTGACCAGGTTGTCCCTGTTGTCCACTTTGATTTGGTTCAGATGCCGTACCGCATTTTCCATACACCGCCCAAGGATGATTGCACGATTGCGAGGCCTGATCCCATACGGTATTATCTCCGCAAGTAAATTCATACACCAGAAAAGCGTTTTCACCTTTTACGCAACGATAAAACTTTGCACAGTTGTTTTCATCAGGGAAAAAACCTTCTGTATGACAATGTCTGATTGGGTTAGTGTGACTTGGGGCGGGTTGCCCTGGTGGTCCGGGTTGTCCTGGCAGACCTGTTTGGCTAGATTGGCCGGGTTGTCCTGGTTGACCCTGTTGGCCGGGCTGGCCTGGTTGACCCTGTTGGCCGGGCTGGCCTGGTTGTCCAGATTGGCCGGGTTGACCGGGTTGTCCTGGTTGTCCAGATTGGCCGGGTTGACCAGGTTGACCGGGTTGTCCTGGTTGGACCTGACCGGGCTGGTCAGGTTCGCCGGGTTGTCCTGGCTGACCTGGTTGACCGTGTTCACCTGGTTGGCCAGGTTGTCCTGGCTGACCTTGTTGACCTGGTTGGCCAGATTGTCCGGGTTGACCTGGTTGGCCTTGCTGTCCAGGTTGACCGGGTTGTCCTTGCTGGCCAGGTTGACCGGGTTGCCCCTGTTCAGATGCCGTACCGCATTTTCCATACACCGCCCAAGGATGATTGCATGATTGAGACGCCTGATCCCACACCGTTTTATCTCCGCAAGTAAATTCATAGACCAGAAAACCGTTTTCTCTTTTCACGCATCGATAAAACTTTGAACAGTTATTTTTATCAGGAAAGAAACCTTCCGCCTGGCAGTGTCTGATTTGGCTAGCTTGGCCTGGAGCAGGTTGGCTAGATTGTCCAGGCTGGCCTTGCTGTCCTGGTTCACCACTTGCGGAACCTGATCCAGTTCCTGTGGCAGCGCCATCTCCTGTACCGGATCCACTTCCTGATCCAGACCCATGTCCATTGCCAGATCCTTCCCCTGTTCCGCTGCCAGCACCATTCGCTGACCCACTACCAGACCCTGATCCGTTTCCGTTACTACTACCTGATCCCGATCCGTTGCCTTGGCCACTGCCGGTACCGATACTACTGCCGCCTCCAGATCCTGATCCAGTTCCAACAGCCGTTCCGGAACCGCTTCCTTGACTGTTGTTGCTTCCTGTACCTATTCCTGTCCCACTTCCTGAACCGCTACCATCGCCACTTCCAGACCCCGATCCACTTCCATTACCATTTCCTGAACCAGTTCCACTTCCGCTGCCGTGTCCAGACCCCGAGCTGCTACCACTTCCCATTCCAGACCCACTTCCTTCGCTATTGCTGCTCCCGGCTCCTGACCCTATTGCACTTCCAGAACCGTCACCGTTTCCGCTGCCCGTACCTGTACCAGTTCCATTTCCCGTTCCAGATCCACTTCCTTGACCACTACCACTACCGGTTCCAGAACTGCTACCGGAACCACTGCCTTGACCTGTACTGCTCCCAGTACCTGACCCATTTCCGCTTCCAGATCCGGATCCATTTCCATTACCAATTCCACTCCCAGACCCGCTGCCATTTCCAATTCCGCTACCAGAGCCTTGACCGTTTCCGCTACCAGATCCAGAACCTGTTCCGCTACTGCCTCCTGTGCCTGAACCGCCGCTATTTCCAGACCCACCTCCAGAACCTGAGCCAGTTCCACTTCCACTACTTGAAGACGATGATGAACTGGACGAACTCGATGAACTTGATGAGGTGGATGAACTTGACGAACTGGACGAGCTAGCTGAGCTAGAAGAACTAGAAGCACTCGATGCTCCCGCAGAACTGGCCGCACTTGACGCTGCCGAACTGGCCGCACTTGACGCTGCAGAACTGGCCGCACTTGACGCTGCAGAACTGGCCGCACTTGCCGAACTTGCCGCGCTTGAGGCACTGGCTGCACTACTGCTTGCGCCTGCGTTATTTCGGTCAGTGTAGAAGTTAGACGGATTATTTACGGTGGGAGCATTAACTTTGAATATTTCACTATGTACCCCGCAATTTCCTCTGACCGCTATGGGGTGATTGCACGTTAGCGAGTCTTGATCCCAGACTGTGTTTCCAAAGCACGTGAATTTGTATAAGTTGAATATGTTGTTAGCCGCTTGGACACATCTATAAAAATTGGTGCAGTTCGTCGCATCGGGCAGAAAACCTTCCTTTGTACAAATCGACCAATCATAATAACTGCTACCTTCCTTAACTTGTGACGCAATCCACGTCGATACGCCGTTTATTTGCTTGAAGATACCATCCAGTTCGTTTCCAAATTGCAATCCTCTGCATCCGTATCTTTTGGTCAATTGGGGATAATTGCAAAAACCGTTTTCCGCATCAAAAATTCTTCCAATGCCGCATTCGTATTGTAACACTGTGTATTGGTTATTCCTTATCGTACATTTGTAAAATGTCTTGCAGTTGACACTGTCTGGGAACAGGCCTTCGTGGGGACATGCGAAAAGTACTGCGTTGGATATTTGCCTCGCGTGACGTTCTTCTGTAACAAAATTACAATAATTAACACTGATTGGTAAGAAAATCATGTTTGTTAGTTTCTTGTTCTACTCAAACCAGCAATACACCATGTAATTTAGTTCTTCCATGACATTCGTAATGATAACTTACTAATTCGGTCTCGTCATTGCTGCGATGGATTTTATCATTAATTAAAAACGTTTAATTAATTAATTGTACCTCGGCCTCGGCCGTTTTCGGAAAATTCGGTTCCAACTTCATGCGAGCACCGGAAACACTTTCAATAAATCCTCAAACTATTCATGTAGCTTTTTCAGAATTTAATGTAGCTCAACTCGTTTTCGTTGTACCTTCAGTATTTTCGCTAAATTTTAATCCGGCAAATCACGACCAATTTTACCAAAACATCTGAACAATTTCGAACATGTTTCCGTACAATTAATGTACAACAGGTGTTCCATTTACGACACTATTTTGTTGTATGTATCTACCTAATCGTTAGTGCTATCAAAAAGTAATATAAGCGGCATGTGCCCTTTTTTCGTCAAACTTAAAATGGAAAATCAAAATTCGAAAATGTTTGTTCGCTTAAGATATTCGGGGGAAAATAAACAAGTACAAATTGTGCACAACCCTTGTGCAGGTAAAGCGCATTTTTTTAATCACCCCTACAAAATTTCTTCCATAAATAAGAAAGTTGGCACTGCACATTCTACACAACACCAAATTTGGAAAATGGCGCTACATTTGGTTTATTCCAAGTGGCTATGTATCAAATTTCATTTAAATAATAATAATAATAATAATAATAATAATATGGTCTTTATTGCATTTGTGTATTCACATTAATCAAAGCAATGATTTTAGGGCGAAGTTCAGCCTAGGGCTGTTCTACCACTTAACACTAGATTCGGCCAGTTTTACAATGAACTAGTAAAGCTTCATAAGGACCAATTTACATATAAATTAATATAACATACAACGCAAATTAACGAGCAACAGTGGCACAACCAATGTAACTTAACTGTAACTTTCAGTAGATGTGAGGTGTTCAAGGAGGAAACTTTTAAATTTAGTTTTACTATAGTGCATAATCTCATAAGAGTATTTATTAAAAATGTGTACGGCAACATGGGAGAATGAACGTTCACGCAATGTAGTATTAGATATTGGAGGAGTTAATCTACCCTTAAATCTCAAATTAAGGTTATGCACATCTGTTCTAAATGTCAGTCGTCGATATAAATAAGCTGGTGTTTTCATATTAATGAGAGTGTGAATGAAGGTGGCAGTATGAAAGTATCTCCGATCATTCATATTCAGCCAGTTCAGGTCTTTTAACTTATAACGCACCCGTTCATACTTTCGAATTCCAAAAATTAATCGAATACATGAATTTTGAAGCTTTTGTATACGATATTTGTCAGTACTGTTCAGGCACGGGCCATAAATTACATCGGCATAGTTTAGATGAGACAAGACCAAACATTCACACAAACGCTTTTTTTGTATTACTGGTAAGTATTGACGATGGGGATAGATTAACTTTAAATTTAGGTAACATGTTTGAAGTGTTTTGGTTACGTGTTTTGTAAACCTTAAGTTTTCATCGAAATGCAATCCCAAATTTTTAACGTCTTCTTGAATAGTGATGGCGATATTATTCACTACTATTTCAGAGTTTCGCTTTACAACATCGCGATCTTGCTTCCTTCCAAAAAGAATTACTGCTGATTTACTCGGATTTATGACTAGTCCATGATCCAACGAAGTTTGATAAATTGCTGAAAGGTCATAGTTGAGAGCGGCATTAGCCTGGAGAGCTTCCCTTGGATCAAAGGACAAGTACAATTGAGTGTCATCTGCGTAGTGATGATAGTTGCATGAGAGTAGGCAATGGTTGAAATGAGATGTGTACATTAAGAATAATAATGGTCCAAGAATGGAGCCCTGTGGTACCCCAGTCGACGTCTGACAGAATTCTGACACATTATTATCGTAGACCACCGCCTGGCATCTATTAGAAAGAAAGCTAGATACAAGTGCGCATGCTTGAGGCTCTAATCCAACGTAATGTAAAATGCCCAATAATAACTCATGACTTAGGGTGTCAAAAGCCTTTGAATAGTCTAACAGAACTAAATAAGTTAACTTCCCCTGATCGCTGGCGCATATAATATCATCAGTAACACTAAGTAGGGCTGAACTGGAACTGTAACCCTGCCTAAAACCAGACTGAAGAGAAGGAAGCAATTGTTGGAAATGGAAAAAATCTCTAAGTTGTTGTTCCATTACTTTTTCTAAAACTTTAGACAGGGTAGGAAGAACGCAAATGGGTCTTAAATCGTTAAGGCTTTGTGGTTCCCTTTTTTTTGGTAACGGTCTTACATACGCGATTTTCCAAGCGGCTGGAAATACCGAGCATTTTAAGCATTCATTTATTATATGAGTAACAAATGGAATGATAAACGGAATACATAAACGTAATGCCCTAATACCTACGCCATCATGTCCTACTGCTTTCGATTTGATTTTTAGAAAAATGGAAAACACTGAATTCATCTACCGAACTGAATTTAAAGGTGCTAGTAATGGAATCCTTTAGATTTGAAACATAAAAATTAAGTATGCTATCATTGATATCGCTGCGAGGGATCGAATTTATAAAATGGGAATTAATATCATTCACATTCCTTAGGTTCGTTGGGAGCTGATGGTCTTTGGTTTTTCCTATATTTAACTCACGTAAAGTGGCCCACATTTGCTTGGCGTTCGAGCTACTAATTGTATTTGAAAAGAATTCCTTTTTTTCAGTTTTAACCATAACTGTAATTCGATTACGCATTGTCTTATAGGCATTCCAGTCCAGAGGATTACGTGATAGTTTGAATTTGCTTAAAAGAGTGTTTCTAATTTTGATCATTTCGCGTAAATTTGGATTTAGCCAAGGAGCATAATTCTTAGTAAAACGGTAAGTTTTGTATGGTGCAAATAAATCTAACAGAAAGAGAATGTTCTCATTTAGAAAACCTACCTTACTGTCGATGTCCTACATATCGTATATAACTCTCCAGGGGATTGCCTCCAGATGACTTTTAAATGCAACGTAATTAAAGTTTTTAAAATTTCTAATTGTTTTAAACATTGCTTGGGAGGTAGTGGGGTCTTTAATCGAGCAAAAAATTGCTTCATGGTCACTAATTTGAGGAACAGAAAGGGTCCCTGCTTCAACAATCATCTCAAGTTTGGAAATCAAAATATAATCAATAATGGATGCAGATTTAGGAGTAATTCTAGTGGCTTCTGTGATTATTTGACTTAAATTGAGAGTATCAAACAGGTCTAGTATGTATTTTATGTCCGGTCTGTTTACTTGTTTGATGTCCGAATTAAAA